ATCCCTGTCATTATCTCTCGCATCCACCGAAGTGGCTGATGGTCCAATCATACGTCCTATAATTTAACATCCACTACATCAGACTATCATTGGATAATCTGAGAAAGGAGTGTTGTCATTCATAAGAAAAAGCCATCGGTATTCTGAGGATGATAGCAACGTGATCCTATTTTTTACTCAAAAAAAAAAATATGTTCCTTTTACCTCAATTGAAAATCGAATTCATACAATTATATATATATATATATATCACTTAAGTTACACAAAATATCTAAAAGTTGATCTCGAAGAACAGTAATGTTTCGTTTGATCTTTCTGTTCATACGTGGATAGTCTAAATTTTCATAAATATGTCTATTTCATCGAGCCTCTCTCGTATCTTACGCCTTTTGTATAGGTTAGAACTTATTTAACAAGAAATTTCACTGTCTTGGAACTATTACAAGTACAACGGTTGATATGTCATTTTTACTCGATTTAACACTTTAGATGGGATATGATCACACAAGGTTAATGATGTGATGCAAACAAAGATGTCGAGTCGACCCCATGAGATTAATCATACAATACTGACATGGCTGCTGACTCGATAAAATTATTACTTCATAACCATAATATTTGACATACAATCTCGTGATCAATTGATTGTCAAATGATGTATAAAAATTTTCGATATCCATCATAATCTCAACCTAACAAGCGCCCGTCATACTATTAAGAAAGACTTCTAGGTGTAGTCTTTAAGAGATTTTTTTGAATAAATATACTCGTTAATTTTGATATTTATTGAACCCTTTTTAGCTTATCGGACACACCCCCAACCTAATATTTATAAGATGTCAGTCAAAATCGCTTGGCAACTGAGCACTTCAGCCTAAGATAAACTCAAGAGGAGAACCCAAATCTAACCCACATATCAAATAATCAAAATACGTCATAATAAATATTATGCATGAGGACCTGAGTATTCTACGTATGCCTATAAATCCTTTATGATTTGTGCAACCATCACATTTTGGAAAACACAAAAAAATCGACCTTTAGTGGAGCAACGACTTCACAAGTGCGTAGCACCCGACCTCAAACATTGCCGTGCCAATAGTTACCCCCACACGCCTTCGTTGGTTGCATGCATTTTCACCACACCCTTCTCTCTTTATGCTTACTCTCCCCCTCGCACGCACGACGAGATCCGAACCCAATCAATAACCCACACACAAAACCATCCCGAAACGCCTTGTGTGTGGTGGCCTCACATTATATACCCATCTCTTTCCTCCAATGATGATGAGCATTATAAATTTAGATATATAATAAATAATAAATTTTTTTAAAAAAATTATAAGTTTGTGAATGCCTCAACTTTGAAAAATTGATAGATAGCAATCTTTTTTTTTTAAATGGCCATCATAACATTGCCCGTCGATCATCTCCCTCTGCCCCACTATCGTCCTTCTTTGATTGTCTATGCTTTAATGAGCAAGGTTGGCCCTGTCGGTCACCCCCCTTAGTGCGTATGGGGGCTAGGTCCTCTAGCTATCCCCCTCCTCTCCTTTAGCCGCTTGAGTCTCCATGTATGGGTGGGCCTCATTAACCATCCTCTCTCCTCCCATAGCTACCTATGACTCCATGTGAAGGTTGGCTCTGTCAATCGTCACCCTACGTGCACACATAGGCAAGCCTGGTTGACTACCCCCTCTCCTCCTCTAATTACTTGTGCCTTTATGCATAGGTTGGCTCCGCCAACCATCCCCCCCCCCCATCCCTTGGTCGCCTATTCGATCGCGTGCAATCTGACCTTATCGATCACCCTTTTCATGCACACAATGTCCCTAAGGTCCAACAAGGGCATAGAGATGATGGCAAAGACAACAAAGGGAAGAGACGATATGGGGGTTCTGAAGAGATTACAGGGATAAATTAATCATTTTACATAGCCAGGGAGTTATCTGAAAATTTATCAAAGTTCAAACATTTTTTTATGAAAAATTATCAAACTTTGAGGGTCTTTTCAGAAATTGACCGAATAATAAAGTCCGATATGTCGCTTTTCTATAATTTATTGGGTAATATTTTTGTTCTCTTTCTTTAACCCCCTCGCCTTGAGGAGACTCCATTCACCCTTTCTCTCTTCTCACCGTCTCGCCGAACCAACGTCAAGCGACCCTTCCCTAGCCGTCGGCCTTGGCCTCCGCCGCTGACTGCTTATCCTCGTGCCCACCGCCGGCTGGGTCGTACGTGGTGACGGGCTCATGGTCATCTCGGCGGAGACGCCATCCAGGCGGCCGGATCCCGTAGCGGGTTCGGCGGCCGCGGCCACAACGGAAGCTACGCCCGCTCGAGGAGAGACGCAGGATAGCCTCCTTCACAACCTTTCCTTCCCGATCTTGAAGACATGGGGCAGCCACCGGGTGCTCCGTTGCATGAGCGTGAACGGCAAGAGGGAGATCGTCGCCGGCACCGGACGGAGATCGGAGGCGTCGGAGTCGCCGACCCGCGCCCAGGAGAGTGACTGCGGCGGAGACCCCGGGATCGAGGAGGTCAGGGAGAAGCTGCTGGTTCATCTTCGGGAGGCGGCGGACCGGATGAGGCTGGTGGTCCCGCTTCCGACCAAGGGTAGGGGAGGCGATGCAGAGCCGCCACCGGCCCCGGCGTCAGAGGTGAGCATCGATTCCGACGCCAACTCGTCGAAGGCGCCGGCGGTGCGTCCTTGGAACCTGAGGACGAGGCGGAGGGCCGCAAGGGTTCCGATGGGGATCGAGCGGCACCTGAGCGGGCCGCCGCCAGGCGCGGCGGAGAAGAGGACGGTGCGGCTCAGGTCAGAGGCCCCGGAGCGGCGGGAGTGGCCCAGGTTCTCGATCTCGCTGACGAGAGAGGAGATCGAGGAGGACATCTACGCGGTCACGGGGTGCAGGGCCCGCCGCCGGCCAAGAAAGCGGGCGAGGGTCGTCCAAAAGCAACTCGACGTAAGTTAGTTCCCCCACCTTCACTTCACTTTTATCTTTTCTCCTCATTTTTGGCTCTGTCGGGTGCCCTTTTGATCCAAAAACCCATATTTTGTCCATCAAAGAAGGATTTTTGATGTTGGTTTCCCTCTTCTCTCAGTCGTCGTTCCCGGGGTTATGGCTGTCGGAGATCACCGTCGACTCCTACAGGGTTCCTGATCAGAGGTAAGATTTCCTTGGGTGACATGATTGCATTTTCTCCGCCAAGCATCCCTTTCCAGCTGCATGGAGTAAGCAAAATCCATTAATTCCTTCAACCTCATATGAATCCTCGTTGTGTGCAATTGTTCCTGTCTGTCTGTCTCCGATCATTTGTAATGGACTAAGGTTACCAGTCAGTGTGTTCATTAAATGTGTGCTTCCCCTTCACTGCAAAGTTTGGAGCTTTTGAGAGTTTCCTCACGCCATATGAGGATCGGAAGGAGGCGCCGCCGTTGTCGTGGTCGTCGTCCCTGTGACCTCACATCGGCTTCAATGCGTGTTCTTTAGCTAGAGCCATGTAAGGCTCGTGCCTTTTGAACGACGACCTGTTTTCCGCAGAAGCTCCAGCATCAGAACGTTGAATCGAGCTCCGTTTCAGTCTGCTCATGGATTGTGGCATTCCACGCAAAAGACAAGGGGATAGCACCACCATAACTTTACGCATGAAGTAAGTACCAGTAGGCGGATCATAATTAATTAAATGCACTTGATCGCAATCAAAGTCAAGTCAATCGACTTTGCTGATGATTAATAGTATTGCATCACGACGACTGTTCTACATAACCTAAACGGTACGGTGGCCAAATGTCAAATGTTATGAGATTTTTCTAAATGAACTATGTTAGGATTAATTACGATAGGATAGGTTTCCTCACGTCTAAGCGAGGACGATCATCGTGTCTCCTCCTTCCTCACACGAGCGTGTATGTCTCCGTTCATCGCAACTCAATTTCATATCACTGCAATTCAAACCAAAAAAAGAAGAAATTAACCCCAAAAAAGGGAAAAGGGATCAGCTACAATCATGCATCGACAAATTGAAGTATTTGCAGCAGTAATAATGGTTTCTCTTCTCGTTTGACAAACAAAGATACATAAAACCAACATATTCAGCATAAAATTGTACTTTAGCATCTGTTCCAGACTTCACAAAGATCCAAACCCCAGAAAAAACTTCCACAAGGCTGCATCACCACTTCTTTATAATCGGAAACTAACTCACTTTATCCATCAAAATATAAGACCTATCAGATAGAACGCGGGTGAGAAAATATGTTGAACATAGAAGCAGAAAAGATCATTCAGCATGCTTCCAAATCTAAGTACATATATTATATTCCTTAACCATATTACAAGTCTACAACCTTTATAATTAGAGATTTCCACCTCTAAGTAGATTGCAAGAGTTAAGAAATCAGTGCTAACAAACAACATCTAATTGAAACACTTCAACAACATATACTTACAGTTTATAAATAATACCTCAGTCCCCAGCAAACAACAGGTCGGATGGAAAACTATGGAGATAGATAGCTAAATAACTCCTAAAAATCTAGAGAGAGCCGCCACAAGTTGATAATTTTTCACACCCAACACATACAGATCAACATCATCATAAAGAAATTATATTTCCTTTCTGGTGCTTATAAATCCACTCACCAAGCGGTCATGAGTACTCCAGTAGATACTTTTGCAACACTCCATAGTTTTTGCCTAGGAAGGTGTGTGTCAGGAAAGCAAATATATTCCGTATGACCTAAGCAATAGCAGAAGAACATACTTAAGAGACCACTTCAGAGTTTAGGAGTACCAAATTCCTACAAGTTACTATGACATATTTCACATTTATGTATGAATCATAAAGCATAAAGGAGAGATATCGAGCAGAAAGTCAATGTCATTATGTCCTTCCATAGTGCAATCAATCAGAGGTAGTAAAGACGTTATACAATAAAATTGGTAAATCCACAACATGAAATCCTATAATCTTCACATCTACAAAACATTGAGTTCTAGATAAGCATGTAGAATTTTAATTAATCCATCCAATTAGTCACCATAAGCATATATTTGGAGTGAAGACCCAAGTGACAGAAGAACAAAATACGAAAAGGACTTAGTGGCATATACAGATCGATTTGGAAGCATTTTAACAACACAAGTACTTCTAATTCAGATATCACACCATGATTCAAGTCTAGTAAGTCCTACTAACTTTCAAGACGGAGTCGGACTGAGAGGAACAGAAGTACCTTAGAACACAATCCTAGATGCTTTCTACCAATTAAAGGATAACTAATGAATGGAGTCCCTAACATGAAGATAATCAAACTCATCAGCACCCATTAGCTTAAATTTTGCACCCACAATCAGATCTTCGTGCATCAATAATGTGCATAAAACAGCTTCCTCAATGAGCAAAAAGTGTCTCGTTCCGTCTAGGAGGCCTATCAGGAATTGTCCCAGGCTTAAACTTTGAAGCTTCATGTCTAGCCAGCTCTGGCGGCACCGGGCTATTGCTTTGTATCAGCATCTGCTTCAGATCATAGAATACATCACTGTCATGCAGAGTCAAAAATGTAGTTGCAGTTCCTGTCTTCCCAGCACGTCCTGTACGGCCAATACGATGTGTATACATGTCAATTTGATTTGGCATCTCATAGTTGATCACATGAGCAACATCAGGAATGTCAATGCCACGTCCTGCCACATCTGTCGCTACAAGAACATTAAACCTCTTGTTCCTGAATCCCTCAAGGCTGATCTCCCTCTGCTCCTGTGATTTCCCTCCATGAAGTGTTGTCACCCTGTAGCCGAATCTGTCCAGATCCTTGGCCCGTGCATCTGCAGACTTCTTTGTATTGCAGAAAACAATAGCTGTCTTGTCTCCAAGGTCATCTAGCAGCTTCTGAAGCGTCGGGAGCTTTTCAGATTCCTTCATCATGATGACTCGCTGGGTGATAAGATCAGTGGTTTTGCCAGCCGTACCAATTGTCACGACAACAGGGTTCCTTAAGTATTTCCTTGCAAGCCGCTCCACAGCTGGAGGCATGGTCGCACTGAACATGTATGTGGTACGATATATCCTCTTCTCATCGAGCTCCTCATCCTCATTCTCAGGCTTTAAATTGCTAGAAGGCATAGCATCCAAAACACCAACAACTTGCGGCTCGAAGCCCATGTCAATCATCCGATCAGCCTCATCGAGGACAACATAATTGCACTGATTTAGCACAGCATATCGCCTTTCCAAGCAATCAAGAAGACGACCAGGTGTTGCAATCACCACCTCACACCCCTGCCTCAATTTGAATCCCTGCTCCTCGATTGACTGCCCGCCAACAATGGAGACCACTTTGATTCCCAGATAGTGGGCAAATTTAACAGTTTCGTCCTCAATCTGCTGGGCGAGCTCACGTGTAGGGGCCATGACAACGGCGTACGGCCCCTCTGCTTCATTCTCCTCACTCATGGGTGGCAGCCTGGTTATGTATGTAAGCATGGGAAGGACAAAGGCTGCAGTCTTACCGGATCCGGTCTCTGCAATGCCAATCACATCGCGCTGCTGCAGGCCAAGAGGTATGGCAGCCATCTGGATAGGGGAGGGGGTCTTGTAACCGGCCTTTTCGATAGCTTTGAGGAGCTCGGTCCTGAGCTTGCTCTCAGCCCAGCTTCGCATAGGGCGTGGGATCCGCGACCCCTTGAAGGAGATGTTGTAATCCTCACGGAAGATGCGCCAGTCTCGCTCGGTCATTTCCTCGAGCTTCTTCTCGGACCAGTGGCGATCCACGCGCATATCAAAGGAATCATAGAGGTCAGCGGCGGCCTCCTTCTTCCGCAGGGCGGCGGCCTCCTCGGGGCGCTCCTCGAGGCCCTCCTTACGCCGAATCTCCTCACGCGTTTCCTTCTCGTGGCGTGCGGCCTGCTTCTTCTGCTCGCGGCGGTCGACGCCAGCGACGAAGCCACGGCCGAAGAGAAGCCGCGCCTCATGGGGGTTCTGATAGAGGGCGTTCATGTCGCGGGAGGTATCCTCGGTGTTCTCCCAGTCGAAAGAGAAGCGGAACTTCTCGCTCGGCTTGATCACCCGCTTCTTGGGCTTCTTAGACCCCAAGTACTGCTCCTTGATTGCATCGAGCTCCTTGGATCGCTCGCGCTCCGCCTGCTTCTCCGCCCGCGCCCGCTCGCGCGAACGGGCCTCGTCCTCGCGCTCCCGCTCCCGGTCGCGGGCGCGTCGATCGCGGTCCCGGTCCCGCTCACGCTCCCGTTCCCGTTCCCGCTCCCGCTCCCGCTCCCGGTCACGGTCCCGATCCCTGTCGCGGCCTCGATCCCGATCCCGGTCGCGGTCGCGATCGCGATCGCGGCGGTCGTTGTTGTCAGAGGGCGGCTGGGGGTCTTCAGAAGACGGGGGCTTGGGGGGGTGGTGGTGGTTCTGCTGCAGGAGGTCGAGGACGGCGCGACGCTGCTCAGCGACGGCCTCCTCGCGTCGCTGGAGGGCAAGACGTTGGCGCTCGGCTTTGGTGATGAAGACGGGCTTGATGTCGGTGGCCGATGGCAGCTTCCGGTCGCGGTCGTCGGCGGAGCGCTTCATGGCGGTGGTCGATTCAGGCGAGGAGAAGGAGATAGGGGAGAGAGATTTTAGGTTACGGGCAGACACACACGCATCGGAGAACACGTTTTATAGCCTCACGTGACATCCACCGTCTCACCAAATTTATAGTGGAAGTAAACATTTGAGTCGGTTAGCCTATCAAAAATCAAAAATCAAAAATAAAAAAATCAACGATATATAGTGAAAATATTGGAGTTGGAATCGTATGAATTTGTATGAGAGACGGATGGATGCATTGCCATATTGGAGATTAATAGTGGAGCTAACTAGTTTATAGTGTAAAAATTTTGTCTCATGACATCTTATCTTATGACATGAAATTGATTTAGAGGGCTATGTTGGACTCGATTTAAGCTTATGTGCATAAGAAGAAGAAGTTTGATACGGCCAAAAAGGAAGCTCGAATGCTCGTTTGATATAACTCAATTCTTGCTTAGCATTCGATCTATACAAAAACTAATGTCAAGTGAGATTCTCGATCCGATGTTCAAATTCTAATTAGCTTTTTATAGTGGGATTAATTTGAAAAAATATTCTAAAATATGAGTAAAATATTTTCTTAATATTAGTGCGATGGATATTTACCATTTGATTGAGATATCATGTGTGAAGCTTTTATTGGGATGAATATTCCCTTAGCAAGATGCCCACTTCATGCCATAGATGGAGGTTGGGTCTCAACCAATCCGGTACATTGTCACCTACTCAATTCGTCGTAAAGATTTATCACCCATCGTAACCCGATCTACTGCAAAAGTAGCATAACGCTTATATTATACGATTAAAGAAGCTAAGGTGCCCAAGTTGATAGTAAAAACTTATCTCTACTCTACTTGTTATAATTAATCTAAGACAATTGATGGTGAGAGAAACTCATTAATTGTAGCACCTTACTTCTAGTTTCACTCGTACCCTACATGCATAACTAAAATAGAATATCACTTTGCAGTTGTTAAACTATTATAAATAGAAGTGTAGACAATCTTCAAAGTAAAATATGCTAATTTACTAAACAAAATGATAAGGTTCCTTGTACATAATAATTTTGATACCTATACATGAGTATAACCACTAACTAAAAAAAAAGTCACCCACACAATATATCCAAAAGTTATATACATTACAAATGCCCACACTCACAGGTCATTGTTTATATCTGTACTAGTATGAGCTGGCATGTGCTCACTTATCGACCTAATCACTTGATTGAGATACTAATATATTTATCTCAAAAATAGAATTTATAATGAGTAATCACTCAATAAGTATAAATATTTATAGCCTTATTTAAGTGAGCATATATCATATAACGTATATAATATTTTAACATCATTGACCTAAGATATTTAACGATAAACACCTCATCCTGTATTACTTTAGTAAGTATAACCTTACAACATAACATATACAAAATAAATAGGTAAAATTTTACGTCAAAATAATTCAAAATACTTATATGCATATATATAGGAAATATAACCAATTCATGAACTTCTACATCACATATTATAATATATACATGCACTTTCACACTACATGTCATCGTAATGTATATGTGCACTCGCACATCGCACATCATAATATTTACTTTACTATTTTAGTTAACCAAACAATCTTGAATTATTATAAAATTTTATAAAAAACTAAAAGACATAAAACTAAATAAACACTAAATTTTAATTTAAAACAAAATTATTTGGATACTAAACTATCATCATAATTCAACCATCAATACCTACTTTATTTTGTTGAAACTAGGTTGAGATTATCTAAAATTATAAACCTCATATCTTGGCACGTAGAGATAGTACTCACTCAATTCTAAATCTCACGGAACCCTAAGGGAATCTTTTAAAATATATCAAAATGATAGAGCATAGTCATATCTTTTAGAGAATCAATTTAGCCTGAATAGAAACCCTTTTCAAAAAATAAGATATTTTAAATACCTCAAATTAAGATACTCATTACTCTATGCACCGATCTCGGATTAAAGTTATACCTAAGGTCATAAAATCATAAGAGATTTATATAAAATATATCCAAAAATTAAAAATAAATTTAAAGTCTATAATATGTAAAACTAAAATCATAGGTATAGTAAAGGAAGAATTGAGTTTTTTTTTACCTTAACCTCTTTTAGAGCCAGGGTTTCCTAGCCTCCACGAGAAAATTTGAAAAAATGACTAAAAGAGAGAAAGGGTCATGGATTGTCAAGTTGATAAAGATGATAAAGCTAAAATAAGATAGAGATACTTAAAAGATTATCTTAAGGTCTAAAGTTTAATCCCATTAGATCTTATTTTAAGTTTTTTTTTCTTTTCATTTCTTTTGTTACTAATATAATTATAAAGTTACAGTAACTTCAATTAAGTCTAATATGGTATGACAAAGATGATTTTTTTTATCTAAACTCATCCTTTAATCTTACTTATATATATCAATATTTTTAGTATAACATTCTTCTTTGATTTATATTTTTTTTATTTTTTTATTACTCCATCAATACCTAAGTAGCTTATTATCCTTCATATATATAATATTTAAAACTTCAAAATTTCTACTTTAATCATGATAAAACTCATTTAAGTCTTGAGATTAATTTAAGATTAATTAAAATTTAATCGTCACCTCTAGTAGATGTTGATGCTTATACATAATCAATATTTTATAGAACATTATGAATAATATATTTTGGAAAACATGTACTTCAGCTTTGAAAGATAAAAACATGAGCATATCATTTATCATATTTAGGAAACGGTCATGTCATTTATCATATTTAGGAAACATAGACATCACAAATCATATTACTAAGTGAATATTATACACACAAATATATATATATATATATATATATATATATATATATATATATATATATTGTTTTTATTAACATGCTAGTTGTAGTTTAATGTGCATGAGACTTGGGCATTAGATCGATGGTGAATGACGATCATGGCATTATGTGAGAAAGTTGTGGTCATCATTTTAGTTATGTTATAGTCATGACTTTTGTCTGCAAAGGATACATCAAACACTTCGAATGTACCATATGTTTCTGATGCTTTTGTTCATGAAAAACGTGTCAAACAACATGATACCTTTATTCGTAAAGAATGCATCAAATGTTTTTATCTGCAAAGAGATATTAGATGCTTCAAATGTGATGTATTAGACACAAGCTTATTGACATTTCTATCAAGATCTAAGCAAAACACAAGTTCAAACTATTAATACATGGTATTGATAATAGTCAATCCAGTACCTTGATAAACCTAAATCAAATGATCAAAATATTCAATCTCGAGTTAATGATGATATATACTTCTAGTCCTAATAAATTAAATCAAATATGCGTTCACATTTGCTCACCTCATAAAATAAATAGGCTTACAATTCTGCATCCAACCAATGGAAGTTGCTTCAGAAAAGAAATATACGAAAAGGAATTATGCAATGAAGGAACAATAACAATAAGGAGATTAAATGGTTATGAATGTGATCATGGCAATTCATACAAAGTGAACAATCTGTCATTTCAACCAATACCAAACTTAAAAGAGTATCCATGAGAAAGCAAAGTATAAATGCTTTTAGTACTTCATCAAGAAGCTTAAACTTAAAAGAGGCTAGTAGGCCTGCTTCATCCTCGCAAAATGAACTAAGAAAAACAAAAGGAAAGGGGCGATGGCCATTACAATTGAGAAACATTAGAGGTCGGATGAGATTACATCATCTAAAGCTTTACATTTGCATCATCCCTCGAAATGCACAAACCGGTTGTAGATTCTATCTATGCACATTTTCCGGGGGGATACACGTTGTCTCACCCTATTAAAAGTCACTCGATTCTGTGGCTCACCCCTTTCATTGCAGAAATCAACTATCATCTTATCTATGCACATTTCACAGGGAAGCGTGACTTGCCACCCCCTACTGGAATCTTTGACTTTTGAAATGCTTATTAGCTATCAGCTTCTTCGTTAGTATCATCTATATCCTCTTCCTGAGAAAATTGATTCATCATAAATCTCAAACTATCACCTTCTTCGAGTTCCCACTGCTGCTTCAATTCATTGATAGCTTTGGATGCAGCAGCTGCAACAGCGTGGTTGCTGTCCTGAGCCAATCTCTGCCATAGAAAACCAAAAATGTTAAACTGTTGTTTCATATGTATTACGTAAGTAAATTTCACATAATTACTTGTAATGCCCCCATGCCGGCGTTCCCCAGGATCCACATGGATGGAGCAGTCGCTAAAGCATTCGCTAGAGCTTTCCTACAGATACAGCCATGAAAATGCTGCTCAGTCAAAAGATTGTTGATCTTAGTGTCAACTTTTTTTTTTCCAGGAAAACATTACAATAAATGGATGTAAAACATATCAGTCTTCGGTATAATGTTAAGCGAATGATGCCACATGTTTACTTGGTTCAATCATCTTTTAATAAGTGGTACAATTTTATACTTGAATTTACCGTGCTTGCTCACCATTCAGTTCCTCTGTAATATTATGTAATCTTCTGATTCAGCATGCAACCAAGATAGCAAAATATGGTTAGGAAGTCACATTAGTTCTGCCCGGTCAGTCTAGCTGACTGAATTAGATTTGGCTCATTTGAACCATATTTAGCCCTATTTGGCCCACTGAGTGTCTTATCAAATGTGGTTAGTTTCTAATAAAATTAAATTTGATAAGTCATTTTCAGAAAGGTTCATACAGTCAGGTCAGCGCCAAGAATACTCAAGCAGTGGTAGTGTGGATTGTTTGTGTGAGTCATCAAGACTAAGATATCTGTGAGCTTATAATGCTGCTAATTCTATAGAAGTTCTAGATTCATGGAATATCTACAATCGATTCAGTTTAGACAGTTTCCCATTTTCTCATAAACATCAAAGTCATCATACCTTGTATTAACATCAGGAGAGCTTGAACACTCAGCCAATAATGAGACGCTACTTTTACCATCCATTGCATCAAGATCAATAAGAGTCGCAACTAGTAGTTCAAGCTTCCCATGATAAAGAACAACATT